ATGCGAGCCATTTGATCCGCAAAGGCTCGGACATTGTCAGTGGGAGATGGAGGATCCGCCTCATAGGCGTCGGGAGTAGGTGATCTCTCGATCCCGAGAGACAACACCGAACCCGAGTGTACCGATCCCGGTAACTCGCCATCTTCCTCTTCGTCATCAGGAGGCAGGGATCGAGGAGGAGGGGATGAGGAGACATCCCGGCTCTGAAGCTGCAGCGGAGCCACTGGAGGAGCTTTTGAGGCCGAAGCCTGAATGGCACTGGCCAGTCTCATTGTCTGTCTGCCCCTTTCCAGAGTCTGCAGTACCGGAGAGGTCTCCTGTCTGGCTGTCACAGTAGTCAACGCCGTGACCGACGGGAAGAGCTCCTGTCTGGCTGTCATGTGTCGAGTTGGCGCCTCGATCACCGTGTCCACCAAGATCACCGGGGACTCGGGTTGCTCCGAAGGCTGCTCCGGCAAGGGTTGTGGCTCCTGAACAGGCTGTGGGGCCAGCTGGGGTTCAGTAGGCTGTGACGGTGAAGACCTTGCCAACGAGGTGGCCGAGGAGGCAGTGGTCTGTTTTCGGGAAGAGGAAGAAGACGAGGATGGAGGCGGCATCGTCTTCTTCCTCTTTGCCGGTGGTTGAGCAGTCTTTGACAGCGATTTGCCCGGGGTGGGCGGGACGGAGGATGAGGTGGAGGCACGTCGAGACTCCTCCTGTGACCGGCGGAAGGCAATGCGAACCGCCGTGGAAGATGGCGGAGTTGCTGAAGTCGACTTCGTGGACCTGGCTGATCTCACCGACGCCACCGAGCTTGTCGACGAGTGCCGGATGCGTACGGTCTCAGTAGTGACCGTGCAAGGAGCCTTCTGCTTCATAGGCTTTGGAGCCTTAGAAGCTGCCGACACTGAGGCCTTTGAAGTAGTCGACATAGCTGCTCTCGGCCTCTTCTGTGCAGCCTTCTTCGCCCTTGACTGGCGAGGCTCGGCCCCTGTCAAGGGATCGACAGACGATGATGTCGGTGCCTTCGACGTCGTCGAAGGTTTAGACACCGTGGCTGATGTCGACGCCGATGTCGATGTTGAAGGTACCGGAGCCAACGTCTGTTGGTATAGAAGGTACCGAAGCCGATGGACCCGGTTTTTACGGGACTGTGCCGTCAATGCTTGACAATGACGACACGTGGAGGTAATATGTGCCTCTCCGAGACACAAAAGGCAAAGAGCGTGCTTGTCCGAATCAGGGATCTTCTTCGGACATTTCGCGCATCTTTTGAAACGAGTTGTTGACATAATATAGTCAACAACTCGAGGAAACTCTAAGGAGAATTCAAGAAATCACTATCCAACACTATCTAGAAGTACCGAAGCGAGCCGTGCGGCGGAAAAAAAAGGAATTTGGATCGGTGTGCGCGGGGCGCCCTTTTATCCCCTGCCGGGGCTGGGCGGGGTTACCGCCAAAACTTGAAAAGTTTTAAATGTAGAAGTTTCCGTTGGAGCCCGCGCAGGCGCAGTCTCTCCACAAGTGTGCATTCGCAGAGACCACGAAGAAAAATGCTCTTTTAAGCTCTCCAGGCACTGTAGTAAGTGATGTTATAGAAAATGTCTATACGATCAATCCTGAATCTTATAATAAATAAGGTTTTCATGTGCTTTCAGGGTTCCCACAAGCTTTTTAACTGAAAGACTTGAGGCAAGCTTTATGTTGGTTACTTCATGCATACTGGCGGCCAGTTTTGAGCAGGACTAACAACAGACAGGGTTGAGTTGTTCTTGATTTGTTTATTGGTTAATTTATATATTACTGTTGACACTGAATGTTTGCCATTGCATTTTGTTTTTGGTTTTGGTTTTGGTTTTTTTCCATTGTGAGCCGCCCTGGATCCCTATATAGGGTGGGCTATAAGTAAAGTTTCATTCATTCATTCATTCATTCATTTTATGTTGCTATTTGAAAAATTTGATTGGAGAGGATTTTTTTTTTTACTTGAATGCCCCTGCATGTAATGTAGGGAAAGAGGGATGATAGTACTATTTCATCTGGGCCAGATAAGACTTGATCCAGTTGACCAGATGGTTCCAAAGTCACAGGCTACTCTGGGGTTTCCAGCAAACTCAGGAGCAAGCGTTCCCCCAAACTAAGGCCAGCGGGGTCATTTACCTACCCCCCCCCCCCCCACCACCACCATAAACTAGACTTTCAGTAGACCTAAGTCAGAAATTTCTTGAAGATTTACCAAAATAACAATCCTAATTAACTTGACTCTCTCATCAGCCAAAAGCAGACCTACACTTCCCATTGAAATACTAGTAGGTTTATGTTGGTTAAAATTGTTCTTCAGTTTAAATATTATATTGTTCTTTCATATTTTAATGCACTACAAATAAGACATGTGCAGTGTGCATAGGATTTTTTCCAAGTTTTTTTCAAACTATAGTCCATGCACCCCCAACAATCTGAGGGACCATGAACCTGCCCCTGGCTTAAAAGGGCAAGACCCCTGTTCTGGAGTATCCTCCAACTTTACCCAAAGGACAATAGAGTAAAAATCGCTATGATCTCCTGGGCTAAAGACCTAGAGAAAAATATTGGGAGCATCTGTAGTAAAGTGGATTTAAATTGTCAATAGCTGGCTCTATCAGATAAAAAATATATAAGATATATATATAAAATTCCTATGCACACTGTACATGTCTTATTTGTAGTGCATTAAAATATGAAAGAACAATATAATATTTAAACTGAAGAACAATTTTAAACATATTATATAATGCCAGAGATAATGGTCAAAATGGATAAAACCTAGCTAGGGGGATGCTGGTGGTGTAAGATGCAGAAAGGTGCTTTCTTTCATGTTTGGTGGACCTATAGGATGGTACAAGATTTTTGGGAAAATGTGATTAACGAAACAAATAAAATTATTACTTTTTTTGTCGTGTCAGGAGTGACTCCTGGTGTGAGAGAATTGGCCGTCTGCAAGGACGTTGCCCAGGGGACGCCCGGATGATTTGAATTTTTTTTATCATCCTTGTGGGAGGCTTCTCTCATGTCCCCGCATGAGGAACTGGAGCTGATAGAGGGAGCTCATCCGCCACTCCCCGGATTTGAACCCGCGACCTGTCGGTCTTCAGTCCTGCCGGCACAGGGGTTTAACCCACTGCGCCACTGGGGGCTCCTAAATGATTACTAATAACCTTTAAAAATCCAGAAATGTTGCCTTTTAGGAATATTTAGAAAGAGAATTAGTAAAGGAAATGGGGAAATTTGTCAATATAGTTTTATTGCAGCTAGACTGATAATATCGAAATCATGGAAAGGCAAAAAAGAACCATCAAAAAAGGATTGGAGAGAAATGTTATTAGACTATATTCAAATGGCCAAGTTATCTAATGGTATCCATGGAGGAAATAGTGAAGAGTTTGCTAAAAGGAAATAGAGGCTGGCATTTGAATACATGGAAAAGAAGACAAATGTAAACTAAAATAGCCACAAGAGGAAATTACTAAAGTAGATATAAGGGTAGATTTCCTGAGATATGGTTCTCACAGTGAGTAGTGTCAGAGGTCATGGCTAGTGGGTTCACGGGTAAGAGGTAAAAGGGGAAAGATTGGATAGAACAGTACAATGTATTGGTTTGGGAGAACAACATACCAGTTTTAGATGTATTTGACTATTTCTAGATGTTTCTCCTTTTTATATTCTGTATTCCATTAAAACCTTTAAAAAAAATTTAAAAGGTTATGGCAAATAAAGATATGGCTTATAAATGAGTTTTGTGTAATTCCCACTCAGCTTGTCATTCATCACTAGACCTGCAAATCACAGACAAACAAGTAGCTTTCCTGTGAAACTCCTATTTATTTTAACAAAACCCAGCTTTGTGCTGATTTAAATTTATTCATTTATAAAGCAGGAAGTGTTCCTGCAATATAAACTCCTCCTCAGTGCAGATTCGGTGCAATCCCTACAGGTCTTCAAAAGATACAGAAAAGAAGATACTGAAAGAGGTAATGGAAAAAGGCAACATTGTTGGGGCCAAACCGAAGTTCACTAGGGCAGTGGGAAGACATCAAAACAGTTGACTGCTCATAGCATCTACATTAATTCATGGACCCTAAATATAAGAATAACTATTTTTCATATAGAAAGCTGTCTTTGAATTAACTATCAAAAGGGGAAGATTACTGTCTTGGGGCAATGGTATTTGAAATAAACGAATAAATACTAGATGTCAAGTGTCAGAAGGGTGGGTCACTAGTGACAAACTGTCCTTTAGTATATTCAACCAACTTCTGTACTGACTGTTCAATGCTAGGTGAATATTACGTTTTCTTGAGCTTGTAATGACATTAGAAAGTTTTCTGTCACCTGCAAACATCTTCCAATATAACTATTAAATATCTATTTATGAGCATTGTATCTATTTAAAAATTTCAAGTGGGAGCAAAACTTAGTCTATATAACAACTGAATTGCTTAAGGTAGGACTGAAACATTAATTGTTTCCAACTTAAGCCCTCCTTGCATGGAGGAGAACACCTCAACTAGCCTGGAGTACTTTCCTGTACTGTTGTAGTCTTAAGATTGTGTCACTAAACACAAAGAACAAAACTTTTAACACAGTCTTCACATATTATTTAGATTAAATGAAAATCCCAGAAGTAAGCGTTACAAATACATAGAAATTGAAAGGTCCTCAAAGACCAATTAATCCAATTATTTGCCATAGTCGGAAATCCACAGCTAAAACATCTCTGATGGCCAGGCACCCAATCACTGTATTGTCGAAGGCTTTGGGTTGTTGTAGGTTTTTTGGGGCTATATGGCAATGTTCTAGAGGCATTCTCTCCTCTCATCCAATCACTGTTTTAAAGGTGATTAATGAATTAGAGTCCACTAGCATTCTCACTCACATATTTGCTTCTGTCTGCAGTATGGGGAAATCTGAACCAATTGAGCTGGGTTTTGTTGACCTTTTCTTAAAAGGGGAGATTGTAATCACACTTCCTTTTTTGTGTGTGTGTTTAGAAATGTTTCTTCAGCACGTGTTCCTACTGATGGCCTTGGTGCTCCAGCAATCCTCAGGACAGGTATGAGCACCAGAATACGTCAAGAACATCTGCCATACATGGTCTGGTCAGGAAACCACAATTCCTAATGTTCTCTCTGAGATGTAATAAACTAGGTTGAGTAAATGTGTGCAGGAGTGCTTGGCTCTTCTTTGGGATAATAGTTATTAAAATGGGTGGATCCTGCAGAGTTCTCTCTCTCTCTTCCAGAAGCCATATCTAGTTGCTTCATAGCTAAGTGATTCTGCAAAAATAGTTAAGCAGGAGATGCAGTTCTTAGCTTTCATGCCATTTAGGAGCCCTTGGTGGCACAATGGGTTAAACCCAGGTGTTGGAGGACTGGTCAACCGACGATGGCGATTTGAATCTGGGGAGTGGGGTAAGCTCCCATCTGTCAAGCTCTAGCTTCTCATGTGGGGACATGAGAGAAGTCTCCCACAGGATGGTAAAAATCAACCATGCGGGTGTCCCCTGAGCAACATCCTTGCAGACGGACAACTCTCTCACACCAGAAGTGATTTGCAGTTTCTCGGGTCACTTCTGACATGAAAAAAATGCCATTTAATGGCTTGCATAGAAAAACTGATCTTTCTCTGGCCCCCTTTTCGTTCCATTTTTTCTTTTAAAAAAGTTAACTCGTTTCATTACTTGTTGGGAAAGACAGTTGAGATAGAAGTAAGTAAGTAATTTACTATGTGAATGGAAAAAGAAAAGTATCAACATCCAGTAAGACAGAGGAGGTCTCAATTCTTACTCCTATCCTAAAATCATGCATGAACCGTCTCTGACTTTTGAAATACATATTGAATTGGAGTTCATGTTAGTAACTCTAGGCCAGCGTTTCTCAACCTGGGGGTCGGGACCCCTGGGGGGGTCACCAGTGGGTGTCAGAGGGGTCACCAAATGCCATCAGTATTTTTTGTTGGTCATGGGGGTTCTATTTGGGAAGCTTGGCCAAATTGTAAGATATCGTTGGTGGGGTTCAGAATGCTCTTTGACTGTAAGTGAACTATAAATCCCAGCAATTACAACTCCCAAATGTGAAGATCTGTTTTCCTCAAACTCCACCAGTGTTCACATTTGGGCATATTGAGGATTCATGCCAAGTTTGGTCCAGATCCATCACTGTTTGAGTCCACAGTGCTCTCTGGATGTACGTGAATTACAACTCCAAACACAACGTCAATGCCCACCAAACCCTTCCAGTATTTTCTGTTGGTTGTGGGAGTTCTGTGTGCCAAGTTTGGTTCAATTTCATCATTGGTGAAGTTCTGAGTGTTCTTTAATTGTAGGTGAACTATAAATCCCAGCAGCAACAACTCCCAAATGACAAAATCAATCCCCCCCCCCCCACACACACACACACACACCCCACCAGTATTCAAATTTGGGCGTATCGGATATTTGTGCCAAATTTGGTCCAGTGAATGAAAATACATTCTGCATATAAGATATTTATATTACAATTCATACAATTACAGTTATGAAGTAGCAACAAAAATAATTTTATGGTTGCCGGGGGGGGGGGGTCACCACAACATGAGGAACTGTATTAAGGGGTCACGGCATAAGGAAGATTGAGAAACACTGCTCTAGGCAATGTCAAAGGCAAAGACTTTAGCAACCTTTGGCAATGTAATCAAATAATGCGTAAACATGAATTGTGTATACTGCTCATGACTGATGAAAAGGCATAAATAAGAATTCAACTTCTTTTGTCCTTAGATAGACCAAATTCTAAGTAAAATCTCTGAAGTCCAGAGGAACGCCATTGTTGACAAACACAATGAAATCAGGAGACAGGTGCAACCAACTGCTAGCAATATGATGAAAATGGTAAGATGCAATTCAATGATGTTCTTCCGTGATATCATTGTAAGACATAGCTATGGCAAAGTTCTTCCCAAAACCTCCTGGAATATTATTATTAATTATCTTTGTTTACTGAAATGAATTTCAAGTCATTTTATGAGAATACTGCCACTGCCCCTTTTGCTCTTTTTATCTGTGCAAACTATTTATATTTAGGCTTTCCTGGTCCACACCAGCCCAATAACCACATAATCAATCCACACTGTTTGTGAACCTTTGCTGGCTGTTCTACAGTAATGTGAATGTTTTGCTTAGATTTATGTTATTATAGAATTTTGTTTGACCATATGTAGTTTAATTTATCAATGTCAAATCTAATTTACTGATGCTAGGTTTTTAATTTTTTGTTAGGTTTTAATGCTACTTTATATGTGGGGTTTTTCTGGGATTTTATGTTAAGATCATATGTTTTATGTAGATGTTGAATGTTTGCCATTGCTATGTTGGAATTTGGCCTGAGTCCCCTCGAGGAGATAGGGCGGAATACAAATAAAGTTTATTATTATTATTATTATTATTATTATTATTATTATTATTATTATTATTATTGTCGAAGGCTTTCATGGCCGGAATCACTGGGTTGTTGTAGGTTTTTTTAGGCTATATGACCATGTTCTAGAGGCATTTCTCCTGACATTTCACCTGCATCTATGGCAAGCATCCTCAGAGGTAGTAAGGTCTGTTGGAACTAGGAAAAGGGGTTTATATATCTGTGGAATGACCAGGGTGGGACAAAGGACTTTTGTCTGCTGGAACTAGGTGTGAATGTTTCAACTGACCACCTTGATTAGCATTTGATTGCCTGGCAGTGCCCGGAACGCCATTGTTGACAAACACAATGAAATCAGGAGACAGGTGCAACCAACTGCTAGCAATATGATGAAAATGGTAAGATGCAAAAACTTGGCTGCGGCATTTGCAGATATGCTGTTCTTCTTTGATATCATTGTAAGAGGTGATTGTTGAGAGGTGATTAGATGTCCTTCTTTGTTTCCTCTCTGGTGTTGTGCTGTTCTAATTTTAGAGTTAGACTACACAGAGAAGCCATTGAAATCCACAAGCATGTGGACAATTTCAACAGAAAAGAGGAAACCATGAAAATGAACAAAATCTGGCTACCAGTATTAAAAAAAAACTCTAAAATTAGAACAGCACAACAACAAAGAGGAAACAAACAAGGACATCTAATCACCTCTCAAGAAAAGATTGCTCCAGGCACTGCCAGGCAATCAAATGCTAATCAAGGTGGTCAGTTGAAACATTCACACCTAGCTCCAGCAGACAAAAGTCCTTTGTCCCACCCTGGTCATTCCACAGATATATAAACCCCTTTTCCTAGTTCCAACAGACCTCACTATCTCTGAGGATGCTTGCCATAGATGCAAGCGAAACATCAGGAGAAATGGCTCTAGAACATGGCGATATAGCCCGAAAAAACCTACAACAACCCATTATTATTATTATTTGAAACACAACAAGATGAGTCCACAGCAGACACTCTGCTGGCTGTTGAATTGTCTCACATCGGACACTTCCCAAGTGTCTAGGACTGCGTGATGTATCAATGAATAATGTGTGCAGATCCCAGTAAGGTGGCCTTTTGCATCTGGCAGATGGTAATCTTGTCAGCGCTGATTGTGTTTAAATGCAGGCCAAAGCCTTTAGGCACTGCACCCAGTGTGCCGATCACCACTGGGACCACCTTTACTGGCTTGTGCCAGAGTCTTTGCAGTTCGATCTTTAAATCCTCATATCATGTCAGTTTTTCCTGTTGTTTCTCTGCAATCCTGCTGTCACCTGGGATTGCGACATCGATGATCCATACTTTGTTTTTTAACACGATTGTGAGGTCAGGAGTGTTGTGCTCCAGAACTCTGTCTGTCTGAATTTGGAAGTCCCAGAGGAGTTTGGCGTGTTCATTCTCTGTAACTTTTTCCGACTTGTGATCCCACCAGTTCTTTGTTGCAGGCAGATGGTATTTGTGGCACAAGTTCCAATTAATCATTTGAGCAACGGTGTTATGCTTCTGCTTGTAGTTTATCTGCGCGATCTTCTTGCAGCAGCTGAGGATGTATTACTATTATTATTATTATTATTATTATTATTATTATTACTATTACTATTACTATTATTATCTTCCCGCAAATTGAACTTAGGTCTACATTTATGAACACAAGAGTAGTCTCACTATCCCCAAACAAGAATGTTCATTTAAATTGAGGACATTTGCCCATCTCCAACTCTGTTTAGGACTAGTTTTGCCGTTGTGTTTTGCTGGATAGGGAACCTCAAGCAGGCACAGTAGTTAGGGTTTGATTTTCTTTTCTAACACCTAGAACTCATGCCCCAACTCCTTATCATACATTATATAGACTATGAATTCATTCTCTTTAGCCCCTTGCACACAGCTGCATAAAATCCACACTGAGCTGGGTTATATGGCAGTGTCGACTAAGATAACTGAGTTCAAAGCAGAAACTATGGATTATCTGCATTGATATTCTGGGTTATATAGCTGTGTGGAGGGGCCCTTCATCTATCTGTACATCCCATCCATCTGCTGACTAGTGTGCATTTCAGTCTTGTTTTACAAAAATGTGATTATTCCTTCATTTGCTTTGCCAAGCTGTGGAACGAGAAAGCAGAAATGACTGCTAGAAGTTGGGCCAGTAAATGCCAACCAGTATCTAGTTCGAAAGAAGATCGAAGAGTGGATGGTAAGTAAAGGCAATTGATTTAAGGGTGTTGTGACACCACGGTGTTATAGCAATGCATAATTCCCACTTTTGTCTCAGCTTTACTGAAGAACATAATTGCTCTCTAGGCACTGTTGCATTGCTTACTTTACTTACTTAAGCGATCCCTCATTGGCTGAGTAGGATAGTCTTCCAGGATCAGTGTTCTGCTGGGTCTGTAGGTGACTGTGGAGCCCTAGTCTTGATCTGCATCTTCTCAGTAAGGGCATTGGTTTCCAGGTGGAAGGCGGTCTTGGTCGAGGTTGGCTTGATGCGCCTTCCTCTTGGCACGTTTCTCTCTTTTGCCCTCCATTCGTGCCTCTTCAAATTCTGCAGCATTGCTGGTCACAGCTGACCTCCAGCTGGAGCGCTCAAGGGCCAGGGATTCCCAGTTCTCAGTGTCTATACCAGAGTTTTTAAGGGTGGCTTTGAGCCCATCTTTAAATCTCTTTTTCTGTCCACCAACATTCTATTTTCCGTTCTTGAGTTTGGAGTAGAGCAACTGCTTTGGGAGATGGTGGTCAGGCATCCGGACAACGTGGCCGGTCCAGCGGAGTTGATGGCGGAGGACCATCACTTCAATGCTGATGGTCTTTGCTTCTTCCAGCACGCTGACGTTTGTCCGCCTGCCTTCCCAAGTGATTTGCAGGATTTTCCAGAGGCAGCGCTGATGGAATCGTTCCAGGAGTTGCATGTGATGCCTGTAGACAGTCCACGTTTCGCAGGCATATAGCAGGATTGGGAGGACAATAGCTCTATAAACAAGACCTTGGTATCCCTATGGATGTCAGAAAATATTATCTTTCCACACTGGAAATGATATTATTTCATTTCTCCTGTTCAAATTGGTCCATCACTGAACAGTATCTAAACTACTGGTTATGACTTATAAACTCCAATAAAGCTTAGGTCTTGGCTGTCTGACAGACTACAGACAGTCCCTATGTTATAAACATCCAACTTACAAATGACCCATAGTTAAGACGGAGGTTAGACAGCAGGAAGTGAGAGAAATCTACTTCTAAGAAGGAGAATTCACTCCTGGAAGATTTATCATGGGGAAAATTTGTCCCAGCTGAAGTTTTATCTAAAATCCGTGTTTCCACAACAAGATTTTTTTTTCAAAATAAGTTATCACAGGGACAGAAAGTGAGGTGAAATCTTCTGAATAGAGAAAACAAACACTACAGGGGTTTTAACCTTCCCTATGCGATCCTAAGATAGATAGATCGAGAGAGAGATATTGCTGGAGTTACACTTCAAAATGTACCTGTTCCAACTTATATACAAATTTAACTTAAGAATAAACATATAGAAACCATGTTGTTTGTAATTTGAGGACTGCCTGTGTATCTCCTTACACGAACCTGCTGGAATTGTAAACTTGTTGAAAGACTTTCTCTCAGTACCACCATTACCACAGGTGAGAACGTAGGAGAAATCAGTCTGATTCCTTCCTTGCTTTGTGTGTTCTGGCAGGTAAAAGACTTTTTTATTTGTATAAACATATGGTGGCTATTCAGAAACACTTTCAATGACATGTCTATACTGGATTTTTATTGCTCTTATTATGTTTTGAATAATTTTAATGTGCTTATGTGTTAATATTGCAAATGGTAACAAATGATGTCCGCTGCTTTGAGTCCCATTCAAGAAAAAGGGGAGATAGAGTATTTCCTCGATTATACACTTATTTCAATATCACCAACAAAAAAGTTTGATTTTAAGAAAAAAATAGAATATTTTTTAGAATTTCAACAATGAGGAAACAGAGAAAAATAAGGACACCTAAAATGCAGTTGTGATCGTTTCAGCTTTGTAGTGCAATGTTTTTGATATTTTGATGCGCAATGAGGTATCAAAATGATTGAAATACAGGAACTCAACTTTTGAAAGATACAACTAAATCTTCTTACAGTTAGTTTTTGCTGAGTGAGTTCCACTACAATAAAATAACAGTGGCACAACACTTGCAGTGTGCTATTTTATTCAACAATGGAATAGCAAAAGAAGGGTGGAACAATAACAGCCAAATTTGGATGAGGGTGATAAGATTTACCATGAATCTAAAACACAGCCTATTTTTAGAGATGTTATATGGAAAAAAATGAGTCTCAAAAGCAAGTCATGCCAAACTGATCATTCATGTGTGTGTGTATGTGTGTGTGTGTGTGTTTGGAATAACAAGCTTGGTAGATTAGGGGACTGCTATGGATCTAGTATATCTTAATTTATCAAAGCATTTCTAACAAATGGCAATTAAATCAAGATTCAATGTCTCTTATGTTCTCTGCCAGCTTTATGACTGTATGATTTTATTAAGGCTTTTGCCTGGATCATTATGATATTCTTACAGTCGATCTGGTTATTTATTTAACGTGTCAGCAGCAACCAGACATTTGTATTACATTTTTAACAAAAACAAACAAACAGACAGACAAAACAAAAAGAAGTCGGTCTGGTGAATTGCAGTCTATAGTGGATTTATAAATCATTGATTTATAATGAGTTTTTGCCAATGGGATGCTCTTCATCTCAGATAGAAGTGACTAGTGTACCTCAGGATTCTGTCCTAGTAGTATTTAACATTTTTATGAATGTCTTAGATAAGGAGCACAATTCAAAATGCTGGTCTTGGCCTATAAAGCCCTATACGACTTCAGCCCAGCTTACTTGTCTGAACGTATCTCCATGTACGTTCCGCCTCGTAGTCTAAGATCTGCTGGGGAGGCCCTGCTCTCGGTCCCACCAGCTTCGCAAATACGGCTGGTGGGGATGAGGGAAAGGGCCTTCTCGGTGGTGACCCCCTCCCCCCCGACGCCTGTGAAATTCGCTACCCAGCTAAATTGGATCAGCGTCCTCCCTCCTTTCTTTCAGAAGAAAACTGAAAACAAGGCTTTTGGCTAATTGATATAACGGCACCTGAACAGTGAATTGGACCAGATAGTTGTTATAATGGAAATGCCTTTATGATTGGATAACATTGTTTTAATGTATTATATTGTATGATTTTATTTTGCTTTTATAATTGTAATTATTGTGGCATTGAATCGTTGCCATTGTTAGCCGCTCTGAGTCCCCTTGCAGGGGTGAGAAGAGCGGGGTAGAAATGCTGTAAATAAAATAAATTATTAATAAATAAATACAAGGCATGTTTATCAAATTGCAGATGACACAAAATGTGGGAGGGGTTAATAAATATCCTGGATGATAGATCAGAGTTCATAATTGCCATGAAAGATCAGAGAGCTAGGCCAAAATTAGCAAAATGTATTTCAACAGGGATAAATGTACGATACTAAATGTAGGTACAAAAATTAAAATGTGCAAATATAGTGTAGGTGATGCCTTGCTTGAAAGCAGTATATATGAAAAAGATGTATGGGTCTCAGTAGATGACAACCATACTATACATTTCTTAGGCAATAATAAAATATTACCTCTGTTACAGGAATCATATGTGGTGAGACTGTACTACAAACAAATCATGCCATGTTGTGGTCAGATGTAATTGAATCTTTCGCAAGTGAACAGACTTACTTCCAGTATGGCGTTGGGACAACTGACCAGGCACACAATGTTTATAGTTATACTCAGGTAGGAAGAGAGACACTATTAATTTATGTTAAGTTACCTGTACATATTGAAATAATCTTCAATATACTCGTCTTTCTGATTGACATATAAGTAAGTCCCCAAAGGGATGCTTACTTGAAAGAATGTCAAGATGTGATTGGATCAATGCTACACTCATGGCTTCATTTTGAGAGCAAGATTGAGTTCAAAGTTTGAAACATTCTGGAGGCTTGGACGCACTTCAAAAATTGTGACCAAACCCCAGAGCTGATTAATGGCTTCTCAGTTATAACACTAACCCACATCCTCTAAAGCAGTGGTTCTTAACCTGTGGGCCATGGGCTGCGAGGATGAAAATCTGGTCTGCAATCCTCCTTCCTGTTTATTTTAATTTATTTTATTTTCGCTCCTTTCATGCCGTCTGCCACTCCTTCCCCGTCACTGACCAGCCCTGACTCCTTGGATAGACCATATCTAGCTCTAGATGATCAAATATGGTTTTCTGTGGGCGAGCAGATAGCGACTACTGGATGGCATGTGTTCTGGTTGGCATGTGTTCAGAAACTAGAGCTGATGTGGTCTATCCAATGCAATTTTCTGAATCAGCACCCCAAATAACCAAACCGAAGCTAAAGTTGACCAAAAACCGATTTGTAACCCTTTTGGATCTAATGTTGGAGAGTGGTCCCTGGCCAAAGCGGTCCCTAGTCAAGTGGTCTCTGGTTAAAAAAAGATTGCAAACCACTGCTCTAAAGTCTTCTGCAACAAGGTTGCAAGTCCCCCCTCGATTGTGAACTGGTACGATGTTCATTTTCCCTTTGGAAAACAAAACTTAAATCTACCTTCAGGGAGTTAAAAATGAAGGCATCAGAGACTCTTAGACCCATCTACAATGATAGTATAATGTGGTTTCAAGACAACATGAAGCATTAATTACAACATCACAGGAAAGTCCGAGTTAAGCCATAAACGTGCTGCAGGAGATCCAAGTATAGTCCAGATCCAGGATGAAATTGGCTCCACAAAATGTAGGATGTATGGCAGGACAGCAAGGGGCCACTTGAACCCCTGAGAGCGGGAACCGATTATTTCTATTCATAAATGTTATGTTCCCTTTAAAAAAATCTCTATGCTTTCAGTTTGCTGATGTGCATCTCTGCAGAGACTTGGTTAAAAAAAACATGGACAGTGTTTGGAGGCCACGTTTCTCAATGTAATCACTGTCCTGGCCTCAACCTGATTGCAGGCACGGCAATCTATTCACCTACACAGTGAAACCAAATTGATTCCAAGCTCCATTACAGTGTCAGTGTAGATAAAACTCAGTCCCCATCAATCTCCTCTCTAAAGGACTAGTGCAGTAGCTCCCAACATCCGTAGTGGGAAAGGGACATTATTTTCCCCTATCCCTCTTCAGGAACAGCATCTGCGAGGTTGTGTTCCCATTGGTTAGAATGGGACATAGTTCCAGTTTTTCTTTTACAAGAGATAGGGAGGAGCTGCAGGCATGTTGGACCTCATCGCATTGGTGAGAGGCAGTGGGGGGAATCGTCACACACTGTGGTGAATCTGTGGGACAACAGGGGGGAACCATTGCCCCACATTGTCCATTAAATCCTCATCCCACCAATGGAAGCATTGCTGACCAGCTTACCCTATTGTTTTCTGTGGAACATGGGAAACTTCCCATGTTCCTAGGGAAGCCTCCTAGCATGCTGCCAGAATGTTTCCTCCATGAAGCCCAGCCTGAAGTTGCCTTACATTGTGCAATGTCATATAGTGAACTCTTCGGAGGAAGCGTCCTGGCAGTGTGCTAGGATGGTAATTTTCCTCTGTGTGATGAGGTTGATGATCATCCCCCTTCCCTCTTCAGGAACAGCATCTGTGAGGTTGTATTCCCATTGGTCAGGATGGGACATAGCTCCAATTTGTACTACAGATAGGAAGAAGTCCCCCCCTCGGGGGTTGAGAAGGACGGGGTAGAAGTGCGAGAAATAAATAATAAATAAAATGAGCTGCAGGGACCTCCTTCTTCCTTTTCCTGTGCATTTCTCTGTCTGTCAAAAGTTGAGTTTCTTTTGCTTTTAGCAAACGAAGGAGAAGGGGCAATGCTTCTCCCTGAGAGATCTGCATGCATTGACCTTGAACAAGCACAGGTTTTAGCCCTCTTCTTAGCAAATCAGTGCCTGAGCATACCTACCTATTGCATCCATGTTTATCAGCATTTATATTCAAGTTTGGATAGAAACACATGTAATGCATATAAAACAGTACTCAGACTGGCAGAAAAATCTTTGCAACACTTCTTATTTCTTAACAAATATTGTCATTCTTTTGTTATGTTATTATTACAATTTCTGTCCAAGTCAGAACTGTCCAATTTATGGTGAATCCACCATTTGTACTTTGTCTTTCTGAATGAACCCCAATTTACCGTGCACCCACTTTTTGTTCATAGATTATTTGGCATAATTCAAACCAGGTTGGATGTTCACTTGCCTTCTGCCCCGAAAATAACGGCATATTCGTATATGTTTGCCATTACTGTCCTGGGTAAGTATTGCTTTGACTGTTCCAAATATTTTTGCATACTCTCTCACTGACATTGCTCTCAGCATATAGGAGTTCATTTTATCAGAGTGGAGAACTGTGTCACTCTTTCCTCTGTTATGTTCGTTTTTTCCATGAAGCGCCCCCCCCCCCCAAGAAATCTGAATGTCTTGATCCATTATGTAATCTTACTTGTTTCTTAAAAGTTGCACTCTAGTGAGATACATTATCACACTGTTCTGTAATTTCAGAGGAAACATAGTAGAACAACTGAATACACCATACAAAGCAGGTCCACCATGTGCCAACTGTGATGGGAAATGTGAGGATAACCTCTGCAGTAAGTGATAGCATTTTTTAAATTTATATTTATTTATTGCCTTTCACCCTAGCTCAGGGTATCTTATAAGACTGTTGATATGGTCAGTGGACTAAACAATAAATTTTGCTTTATAACAACTAAAAACAAATGTAACTAAAACTTCCATCATACAAAGGTTACAAATGAAATTGTCAAAAATAAATAAATAAATAAATAAATAAAACCAGTTAAACACATGAAGGGAAAAGGCATTAAAGGAAAATCCCATACTCCGCTGTTACACCAGCTCCACTGGCTGCCAATTAGCTTCCGAGCACAATTCATATAGGTGTTAACCTATACAGCCCTAAACGACTCCAGCCCTGTTTACCTCTCCGAACGTATTCTCCCCTATGAACCATCAAGATTATTAAGATCGTCTGGAGAGGCCCTGCTCTCGGTCCCACTGGCCTCGCAAGCACGTCTGGTGGGGACGAGGGACAGGGCCTTCTCGGTGGTGGCCCCTCGACTCTGGAACTCTCTCCCACTGGAGATCAGAACTGCCTCGTCTATCCTGACATTTAGGAAACAGGTGAAGACTTGGTTATGGAGACAGGCATTCGACGAGTGAGCCAACACCCTGAGATATGGATGGAGGATGATGAGCAACGATTTTAGTGTGACGACTGACCATTATAGTTATTGATTGTAATTGCTGTTTTAATGTTTTACTATAATATGTATTATGATGTTTTATTGATTGTATGTGATATTATGGTTGGAAACCGGTCTGAGTCCCTCAAGAGAGGTGAGAAGGCCGGTATACAAAACTTTTAAATAAATAATAAATAAATACTTCATGAAAAGCCTGTTTCCCCTAAGCTGCTGAAACAACCAAAAGTCTTCACCTGCCTATAAAAACCAACAGAAGTTGTCCCAATCCATCCTCCCTGGAAAAGAAGTTCCAGGGAACAGCCACTGGGAGAGTCCTCTCCTATTGCCCCAGCAGTTGTGTCTATGAAGATGGTGTCTTCCCAGAAGCAGGTTCATGAGAGAATGTGGTCCTTCAGATAACGTTAGGTATACAGACCATAACCAGAAAGAATTTCCTCTAAATAATCCTTCTCTTCTTCTTTCTGCAATGTCACAATTTTAATGGTGGCATCCATTGAAATTGCTGGGAAACTGAAATGGTCCGGGAAAACTAGCTGGCTACACAGTTCCAAGTGACAGTGTTGCTCTCCACTTTTTCTTCCAGCCTAAGTTAAATAACAGTGCTTGTTGGTTAACTATATTATGTTTAGCATGGTGGGAAATTGCCATAAAATCCAGCTATTTCATAGAATCATAGAATCAAAGAGTTGGAAGAGACCTCATGGGCCATCCAGTCCAACCCCCTGCCAAGAAGCAGGAATATTGCATTCAAATCACCCCCTGACAGATGGCCATCCAGCCTCTGTTTAAAAGCTTCCAAAGAAGGAGCCCTCCACCACACTCCGGGGCAGAGAGTTCCACTGCTGAACGGCTCTCACAGTAGGAAGTTCTTCCTCATGTTCAGATGGAATCTCCTCTCTTGTAGTTTGAAGCCATTGTTCCGCGTCCTAGTCTCCAAGGTAGCAGAAAACAAGCTTGCTCCCTCCTCCCTGTGGCTTCCTCTCACATATTTATACATGGCTATCATATCTCCTCTCAGCCTTCTCTTCTTCAGGCTAAACATGCCCAGCTCTTAAGCCGCTCCTCATAGGGCTTGTTCTCCAGACCCTTGATCATTTTAGTCGCCCTCCTCTGGACACATTCCAGCTTGTCAATATCTCTCTTCAATTGTGGTGCCCAGAATTGGACACAATATTCCAGGTGTGGTCTAACCAAGGCGGAATAGAGGGGTAGCATTACTTCCCTAGATGTAAACACTATGCTCTTATTGTTGCAGGCCAATATCCCATTGGCTTTTTTTTGCCACCAAATGATATTGTTGGCTCATGTTTAACTTGTTGTCCACGAGGACTCCAAGATCTTTTTCACACGTACTGCTCTCGAGCCAGGCATTGTCCCCCATTCTGTATCTTTGCATTTCATTTTTTCCTGCCAAAGTGGAGTATCTTGCATTTGTCACTGTTAAACTTCATTTTGTTAGTTTTGGCCCATCTCTCTAATCTGTCAAGATCGTTTTGAATCCTGCTCCTGTCCTCTGGAGTATTGGCTATCCCTCCCAATTTGGTGTCGTCTGCAAACTTGATGATCCTGCCTTCTAACCCTTCATCTAAGTCATTAATAAAGATGTTGAACAGGACTGGGCCCAGGACAGAACCCTGCGGCACTCCGCTATTTGAGCTCAGTAGTTTTTTTTGGTTTTTTTTAAAGGGGGAAACACCAGATGTCATTAGCAGCAGGCCTTTGGGTACTGTGTGATGCTACCAAGTCTGCCCTAATGGCTTAGCAATACCACTGTGCCAGCCCCCCCCCCCAATTACAAAACAATTGTATTGATCAGTCGATTTGTCTTATCAGAGAATATAAACACAACATACAGTATACATCTAGTCTGAGTAAAATTGTAAATATACAATTATAAAGAGAAAAAAGTGGGTATGGCCAACTTATAACCAAACATACCTTAATTTTAGGTATATACATCAGATGTCCTCATCCTCCTTACACCCTACACTAGCCCCCCATTACAGGTTTCCTATATGTCGTGGGCCAGCCTGCCCCATGCTCAAAGCTACTGATTTACTGATTGTGGGAGAAAGATGCTGGCCTGCATTGTTCAAAAATATAAACTAGGCTCCAGAGTCCTACCAATGCTCATTTTCTTAAATGTTTTCATGTACACGTTTACACTAATTTATCTCAATCCCTGATTTGTGACATAAGACGTAACATCCAGAAAGTTGAACAATCATATTTATAATCACACTTATACAGAACTGTTCAAATTTTATCTCATCTGTTCCTATTCCTGATGTGTAGTCCTCGGGGAAGATAAAAAAATACGTGATAATGACACAAAAAATTCATTCCTGGCCCCCAAGGATCATCAGCAATAGCCTGGGGATACATACATTTTAGGGATGGGTTGCAACCACTGGAGGTCACACTGTATCAGCTGGCTCATTCACCTCTTCTTTCTTATTTCTTCTTTCTTGAGGAGGAAAGCTGTGGATAATTACGAATGGGTGAGGAACCTCACCCACATGCACCGCGACTGTGGCGCAGCTGGCTGGGAATCAGCTGCATTAAGATCACTGCTGACCAAAAGGTCATGAGTTTGAAGCCAGCCCGGGTTGGAGTGAGCTTCCGACCAATTTGTATAGCTTGCTGTCGACCTTTGGAGCCCGAAAGACAGTTGCATCTGTCAAATAGGAAATTTAGGTACCGCTTATGCGGGAACGGAGCCCCCGGTGGCGCAGTGGGTTAAAGCACTGAGCTGCTGAGCTTGTTGATCGAAAAGGTCGCAGGTTCAATTCTGGGGAGGGGCGTGAGCTTCCGCTGTCAGCCCTAGCTTCTGCCAACCTAGCAGTTCAAAAACATGCAAATGTGAGTAGATCAATAGGTACCACTCCGGCGGGAAGGTAACGGCGCTCCATGCAGTCATGCCGGCCACAAGACCTTGGAGGTGTCTACGGACAACACTGGCTCTTTGGCTTAGAAATGGAGATGAGCACCACACCCCAGAGTCAGACATGACTGGACTTAATGTCAGGGGACTACCTTTACCTTTATGCGGGAAGACTAATTTATGATGCCATAAAAATCTCCAGCAAGCATGCAAAGAATGAAGAAGTACTTCATCAGTGTCACAAATGAATGGTGAAGCGACAGCTTCCTGGTGGCCAGAATACCCTCATGAAAAAGCTGGAATGTTAAATAGCCTTTGTGTCTGTATATATATGTTGAGTGTCTATGGCATTGAATGTTTGCCATGTATATGTACATTGTATTCTGCCCTGAGTCCCTTGCAGGGTGAGAAGGTCGGAATATAAATACTGTAAATAAATAAATAATAAATAAATAAACCTCCTTCCTTGTCACCACTATTTCAGCACCATTTCTACTGGATCCCTGGGGGAGGGTTGTGTCTTTTGCCTACTTTCTTTGCCTTTTCTTCGCTCCTAGCTGCTCAGTCTCAGTTGTCCAGAGCCAGTTCTTTTTTCTCCTCAGAGAAGATGGTGAGGACGAGGAAAAAGAAGGGAGTTGGAAGAAGACAAGTGAGCCAAATGTGCACATCCAGTGGCAGCAAAGAGGAGCAGGAGAAGGCAATCAAAATTGCAAATGACTGCAGTGGGCCACTTTCTCATTTTTGCGTCTAATTTCATTTTGGTTTCATTCCTTTCAGACAGCGCATGCCCTTATGCTGATGCATATGACTACTGTGATGACCTTATTGAGAGCTTCTCATGCTCACAGAAATTTGTTCAAGAAAAATGTAAGGGCTCCTGCCATTGCGCTATAGGTGAAGAATAGATATACAAGAATTACAAGATTCCTCTCTGCGTCTTACTGAAGAAAATTGAAAATTAATAAAAGAAATATTGTCACCTGAAAATTCAGCATTTAAAATTGACAGTGTAAAAATAAAGCACACCAAAGACTAAGAGAAATGTATCGTTTTATGCCAATCATTCCTTTTCCCCCTTGTTATTCTGCTTTACAAAATGTTTTTGCTACTTTTCAAGATAAATCTTTGAATACTCAAATTCACCTCTTTCTAAGTTTCTTTCTTCTACCTCCAATTACAACTTAACTATAAATTTAAATCCAGGTCAAAATAGCAATTAAGATGTCATCTGTACTCTATGGTTGTTGTGTAAGCTCTCTAAATTATTTGTATAACTATGTTGTGATGTAGATAGATGTGGCTGGCTTCAACTGATGTTTTTAATTTAGTGGTCTCCCTTCTGAGTTCTAGCATTGCTGGTATAGAATCATATACCAGTTTATTTGTTTATTTGATTTATCAATTTATATGCTGTTTATTGGAGGGAAGGATATTAGAGACAAAGTTGAAGTACTTTGGCCACATCATGAGGAGACAGGAAAGCTTAGAGAAGACAATGATGCTGGGGAAAATGGGAGGAAAAAGGAAGAGGGGCCAACCAAGGGCAAGATGGATGGATGGCATCCTTGAAGTGACTGGCTTGACTCTGAAGGAGCTGGGGGAGGTGACGGCCAACAGGGAGCTCTGGCGTGGGCTGGTCCATGAGGTCACGAAGAGTCGGAAACGACTGAATGAATGAACAACAACAACATGCTGTTCTTTTCCCAAAATGAGACCCAAGTAGGTTCACAACATAAAGTGCAACAAAGTAAAAATTAACCAGTGTTAAAACATAGGTTATAAATCTATTAATTAAAACCTATAATATTAAAAATACAATAAAAGTTATAACTAAAACCAGTTTCACGACATATGAAACATAACAAATAGGATAAAAATAGACTGCCTCTGCTATTAAAAGAATTAATCCATAGCAAACAGTTAAAAACTGAACGCCTATATAAATAAAAAGACCAGGAGAGCAGATATGTGACCAGTCCTGCTTCCAATAGGAGAGAAATGGAAACCTTGGAACAACCACCATTTTGGTTTTTCTTTCCTCGTGAATCTATGTTTTTCACTCAAGGCAAGAAATAGATTTGATTAAAGATAGCCTTTACATTTCTATCAACTGATTTCTTGCTCCAGAACACTAAGAGCAGTCTATGCAATGGATTAAACTGAACCTGTTTCATTGCATGGAGCCTACACAATTGCACCAAGAACCAGTTTGAGACTGAGATGGGTAATTGCGGATCAGAACCAAACTCAACAATGTTTTCCCCCTTGCCCAATCTACTGGAATGCACTGATGTGAATTGTCATGTCCACTTGGAATCAACACTAGACTGTGGCAGGGCATAGGAAATAAAAAAAAAGGGTAGAAAGTGAGAGTTCCCATGACAATCATATGATTATTTTTTTCTGAGAGAGTGCTTTCTTCCCAACAAGTTGTATTTGGGTTATTCTTTTTTTAAAAAAGTGTCAGTACTAGGAGTGTGCAAAGCTTCAAAGAGTAATTCTGAAATTTGAATTCAAATCTTTGAATTGCTAATCAGAAAGAGACCACTCCTAAGCATTTATGAATCAAAACATGAGCCTCTGAAATATTCGTAAAGATTTGTTGTTTCTGAGCTTTTTTTATTCAATGTAACATACTCCGTTGCCCTTGATTGTCTGGAGTGGAAGGAGGCCAATGTGGTTGACAAAAGCATCTGCATGCTGTTTTTTTTTCTTGTCAGCCAATCAGAAGAAGAAAGCCAAATCACACAGCTTTCTTCAAAGCTGGTCTACTCCTCTGTGTAGTATCTCTGTCTTTTGTGGTGTTTGCAGGAGAGAGATCAAGACGTGCTCTTTGAAATAAGTCTTTAAGTTTTCAGTTTGTGTGTGTTTCTTAGAACTTAAACTTATAGTAGCATTTAAATAATTCTGTTTCTTTCTGTTCCTTGAAAATCAGTCTATAACCTTCCTCAGTTGAAATTATCCACCACCMCCTCCCCCCCCTCCCCCCCCCCCAGCCTATATATTATTTTCCAAATTCCCATAGCTAGCACTAGCTATTAGAACGATGCAAATTTTGGACAGGGTTCATAAGTTATAATAAGTTTGGCAAAATTCATATTTATGACTCGATGTATGTAACCTAGACTTGAGCCCCTCCTGAACCCAGACAGAATGAAATAGGCACCACCATCCCACCATCCATTCTAGAAAACTTTGTAAGAATTATTAGTTTTCTGACTGTTTGTTTTGTAAACAAGCACATGACGGGGGCTATGAGACTGGGCAGAGAGAAGTCTGCTTTATTCTAACCAAAGGGAACCCAGACAATCAAAAACATCCAGACTAGAAACTGAGGATATAGAGTGTCAGAGGGGACATAAAGGCCCCCCAATGGCGTTCACATGCTCTTTCTCAATCACAGGGCTGCTTTTCCTCTCCATTTTCCAAATGCACTGCTTCCAAGCTACAAGCTTGCTTCTCCTGGGATTTCTCGGAGAGCATCCCAATCCGTACATATTTCCTATTTCCTATTCCTGGACTGCAACTCCCAGCAATCCTCCAGATAGATAAGATAGATAGATAGATAGATAGATAGATAGATAGATAGATAGATAGATAGATAGATAGATAGATAGATAGATAGATAGATAGTAGGTGGATAGATCAATCAGGAGGACTGTTGGGAGTTGCAGTCCAAGAATAGGTAGAGAAGGAAGAAAGGAGAGAAAAAAAAAGGGAGGGGAGGAAGGAAAGAGGTAGAGAAGAAAGGAAGGAAGGAGAGAAGGAAAGAAGGAAAGAGGGAGGGAAGGTGGGCCAAAGCAATGCGTAGCAGGTACAGCTAGTATATAATAAATATATTATTTCATAAAATGCTCCAGAGACTTAATTTATTTGTGTATTAATATTATTTGTGTGTGGGGGGGGGGTGTCAATTTCTTGATAACATTTCCCTATCTTCTCTAGACGCCTGATCAAGTCCTTCAGATGTGTTGCAGAGCACTCAAGGGGGGCAATTGGTGGCACTGGCCAATAGTTGCTTCTCTCTCTCCTACTGCAGTGCTTGGCCAGCCTGACCAATGTCTTTGCAGCTTACCACAAAGCTCTCTGGAATGAAGGGCATTGAGAGTTGCAGTATCAGTGATCACTGGAGCTATACATGGGGCAGGTGACAGAAAGAGGAGGGGAAGATGGCATGGTGTGAAGCAAGTATCCCTCACACATTGTGAATGCTACTATGCAGATATTCTAGAAGAGAGTGCTGTGGTGGGATGTGGGTGAGAACATGTGCTATGGTGTGCATGAGGTGCCATGCAAGTTTCACTAAGGTTGTGGACATGCAAGGAGAAAGGGGCTCTACTCTGCCTGCTCTTGAGCTTCACAGCAGTTCACACTCAGCTTTCCCCATGGCTGTATTTGCTTGCTACCAATGCAGATCTTGCCTGGGGAAGAGTTTGGAGGGGTGCTCCTCCATGAACTTACAGAGGATCCCTCTTCCCACTGAACCAATGAGCCTGTGATGTGCTCAATGGGTGTAAGGGTGAAATGGCCTCCTTGGAATCCAGAAGGTCCACCATGTAGTATTGGTGAAAGCATATACCTTCTTAGGACGACAGAGGGGGGGCGGGTCCCAGAGAAACAAGAGCACAAAAGACACGAGGAATCCCTCCTCAGCAGATTCCTCACCGGCACATGATGACTTTATCTGGACTATAATAAAATAATAAAAATTTATTTATATACCGCTCTATTTCCCCGAGGGGGACTCAGGGCGGTTTCCAAGCAACATCACCAAAACATACAGAGTAAACAGCATAACATAAAATTAACAAAACAACATAGGCATAAAATGTTCAAAGGAGTCCTGGGAGACCACTGCCAAACTCTAATCAAACTGCTTCTCACATGTAACAGCTTAGCTACCTGGGACTCTCTGAATGATGGCGCTTTGAGTCAGGTGCTTGGGATGGATGGTTATCCATCTGTTTGAAATAGGGCATGGTGGCAGTGCCTCTTCTGCTGTGGGTGTTGACATGGCAATAAGGACAGAGGTTCCTCCTTGAACCAGGGTTGTGAAAGGCCTTGGTACAATGCTGCCCAGGTGTCTATCTGCACACCAGTACCACATCCACATTGGCATAACACAGGGCAGCAAATACACATTATAAAATGAATGTGTGCAATAGGTAACAGTGTCATTTCCTGGCAGGAATGGGTTTTACAATTATTTCCCTTGGGTGGTTACCTGCAATGCGTTTTTGTTAGCTCACCGAGGCCCCTCTGCATTGCTAATGAGATTTTGAAGTGGCACAGAATGATCACAGAGATATTATTTTCACAGAAGCCCCTCCTCTGTCCCTGAGTCAATTTTGCATTGTACTGCTGTTTACATTTATGCATGGCTGTTTTCATGTATATACTGAGCCTCCCGTGGTATAATGGGTTAAAGCCTTGTGCCGTCAGGACTACTGACCAACAGGTACGTGGTTCAAATCCAAGGAGAGCAGTTTGAACTCCCTCTGTCAGCTCCAGCTCTGCATACAGGGACATAATAATAATAATAATAATAATAATAATAATAATAATAATAATAATAATTTATTTATTTATACCCCGCCACCATCTCCCCAATGGGACTCGGGGCGGCTTACATGAGGCCAAGCCCAACAGTACAACAGAGTAAATATGCAACATAATGAAAATAAAAAATAAATACAGAAAATAATACAAATGAGCACACCAAATATAATATCACAGTAATTGAATCATACAAAAAATCACAGTGGGCAGTGAGCAGGGCAAGTTACAAAAATAAAGTTTAAAAACACTGGGTGAGCAGGCCATGTAATGTGTCTAGACAGAGGATCAGAGGGACAAAAATGAGGTTTAATTGCACTAGAAGATGGGATAAAGTGCTTCTGAGGGCATTTTATGCAGGGTTTGGTCAATGTCAAGGATTATTGTTCATTCATCAAAGGCACACTGGAATAGCCAAGTTTTCAGACTTTCTAAAGACTGCCAGGGTGGGGCTTGCCTAATTTCTCTGGGGAGCGAGTTCTCTGTGAGAGAAGCCTCCCACAAGGATGGTAAAATAGCAAATATCCGGGCACCCTTGCAGATGGCCAATTCTCTCACACAGAAGCGACTTGCAGTTTCTCAAGTCGCTCCTGACATGAAAAAAAAAGTATATACTACAATGCTTTTCCCAGATTAAGGGCCCAAGGCAGTGATTTACTGTACTTCATGTGCCACAGCTGGGAGTTTCATTTAACTCACATTATATAACCAGTGTAGACAGGGTTAAGACTTTTAGAAAGGCAGCCATGAAAGAACTAGCATGTATTAGAAGGAATAACAGCCTTACTTATGGGGTCATTATGAGGATTTATTTATAGATAGAGAAGGAAGAAGACCATTACTTAGATCTATCCAGGAACTTCTAAAATTTGATTTGTAATCTTTAGCTGGAACAAATAGCTTATTGGATATCATTATTATATTTTCACTTAAAGTTATGTTCCTAAAGTCACTGCACTTTAGTGGGACTACCACGTACGTACGTACCCACCGTGTAGCCTTTCATCTCTGCATAACAAATGTGATTTTTTAAAATGATAAAATGTGTTGGCACCACTAAAGAGCAGAGTGTGATGCCAATAACTGTTGGCAGGTATTTTACAGCTTATCAATGCATCATTTCTGCATGCTATGTGCCTCATAAACCCACCAGCATGGAGATTGTCCATCCAAACGGGCCTTTGTAAGTTCTTTTCTTGAACAGAACATTACTAGCTATTAAAAGGAGTGTGGTGACCACTGATAAGCGAAGAACCAGCTGCCACTCCAGAAGATATCCTTGTCAAGATAAAGGCATAGTATTCCAAAAATACTAACTACAATCTAAGTACTCATTTTCTAAAAATATTTTATGGGAACTATAACTTGTATGGATTAGAATATTATATGACCAGTGTATTTTATGGGAACCATTTCAATTGTATGGATAAGAGCACATTATGACAATAATTTAGTGTCTGCATTATTTCCTACGGTAAAATACTAGTGATGATAACATCAATTCATTTACTTTTATTACTTCAGCTAAAATTTCCACTCATTTGATGTCCAAACAGAAATACAATAAAACATACTTTTTTTTTTCAAAACGAAATGAGCTATCCCCAAAACATAATGGAATTTTAACATTGTGATACCATTTTAATTACACAATTCTTGGAATTGTAATTTTGTGAGATGCTTTGACTATTTTGCCAAAGAGCTGTCCTGGGAAGTGGACTCTGGGGACTGGTAGATGCCAGATAAATGTATGTTTTGGTTGCTTGTAGGTTATTATTCAAAGTTGGCCCAACTAATTCTACTGTATACCCCATACTATGTCATACCATAAACTTGATATGAATATAGAAATATAGTCATTAAAAGTAAATAAAGGCAAGTTTGAGGTAACAAAGATTTACTGTATTATATATAGTAAAGATAAAGGTTTCCCGATATTAAGTCTAGTTGTGTTTGTCTCTGGAAGGTGGTGATCATCTCCATTTCTAAGCCGAAGACCTAGACACCTCCTAGGACACCTCCTAGGTCATGTGGCCAGTATGACTACATGAAGTGCCATTACCTTCCCACAGAAGCAATACCTATTGATCTACTCACATTTGCATGTTTTCGAACTACTAGGTTGGCAGAAGCTGGGGCTAACAGCGGGAGCTCACCCCGCTCCACAGATTCGAACAGCCAATCTTTTGGTCAGCAAGTTCAGCAGCTCAGCAATTTAACCCGCTGCACTACCAGGGGGCCTGTGTGTGTGTGCATGTGTGTGTGTATATGTGTGTGTGTGTGTGTGTGTGTATGATCAGCAGGTTCAGCAGCTCAGCAATTTAACCCAGGGGGCCTGTATTTTATGTGTGTGTGTGTGTAATTTTTATTTAAAGGATTATTTCTTCTATTTTTGGCAGTTTCTTGAGAGTTTGAGCTCCAGTTACTTGAGCTCCAGTTAACCGACTAAACTACAAATCTTAAATTCTGTGGGATGTACCAGTGGAAGATGATATAGGATCAGATTGTTATATAGTGGGAATACATATTCTCTGTTTAGGAAATCAGATAACTAAACAAGATTTTTTTTTAACCAATTGTTGTTGAGATCCTGTTGTTGGGATTCTTGTTTTTTCCTATACAATATGTGATTAACTTGGTCTTAACTGTACCCTGTGATTCATTCTAATAATTAAGTTCTGCTTCTTTCCAAGCTGGCAGGCTTATCTTGCATCAATATAATTGTATCTGTAAGGGACCTCAGGCATTGGTCCATCTTAATAGTTGACATGCCTGAATGAACCCAAGATGACCAGTTTCTAAGGGGCATCAGCCAACAGGCTAATTTTCCAATGTGGGAAAGGTTGTCCAACACAGCACTGATTTTACATAAACTAAGTCAAAATTTTTGACCATTTTAAACTCATTATCAACATGACCTTATTCACGATTCCTCCTGCTTCTCTTCCTCCTCTTCTGTACCCATTGGTCATGAAAACATTTAGAAATCTTAACATCTTTAAACATTTTTAAAAACTAGCTTTGTGGTGATCTAGATATTTTGCAGTTGCGGGGGTAGCAGCTATTCTCAAAACAGGAAGTATTCTCTCCCACATATAGATACAGATATATATACACACACAGTACTACATTACAGTTGGGATCTCTTGCTGTACAGAAGACACAGAAAAGAATACACTAGTAAAGGTAATTTAAAAACAACTCATTTTAACAACATCAACAACAACAACAACAACAACAACAACACTTCAAGTCTGCTCATTGCTTCCAGCATTACTCACTTCTACATATAAAAATAGGTATATTAATTCCAATTTTGAATTTGCTATTTAATGAATTATACTACATTCATACTACTTGATATATATTTGCATATAGCTAGTGGAGAGAAGATTTTTTTGTGTGTGGTGACTCGTAAGTTATGAAATGTCCATTCTTATTTTAGAGCAAAACTTTGTCTTTTTGTCAGAAAGCTTTTTCTTTCCTTTTTCTACTGGATAATTTGTTGTTTTGAAGGGTATTTACTGCAAGCTCACGTACTGCGTTTTTAATTTTTGTTACTTTTGCTATTTAACTATATTATTCTTTTAGTTGTATTATGATGTGATTTGATTTGTACTGAAATAATGATTTCAATCAATTTTATTTGTCCACTAACTTAGCCTGTTTTGTTTTGTTTCTTTTGCTTACGCAACAGATAAACTAGATTGCTTGCTACCTACAGCTACTATAGTTATATCCAACCCTAGATCATGAATGTGATTCTGCAGTAAACGCCCAATGACATGCAATTAAAAAATGTTAAAGAAATAAGCAGTGATTCAAAGAACTAGATCATTAAGAGCCATTTTTCTGAGTATATACAGGCAAGTGCAAGCCTTGCTCATTCAATCTTCATTCCAGAGTAGGGAAAAATATCCCAAACTGCTGAAATACACAGTGCACTAAAATGTCATTTAAAAATATACTGGATTATGATATACTGAAGAGTCGATCTCCATTTTTTCTACTTCTACTTGAAATATCTTTGGCACAACCAAGCCATAATTGACTATTTTTTCCCATCCCATTGATGCTAGCTGGATAGAATTAGACAAATAAAATCATAGAATCATAGAGTTGGAAGAGACCTCGTGGGCCATCTAGTCCAACCCCATTCTGACAAGAAGCAGGAAAATCGCATTCAAAGCACCCTCGACAGATGGCCATCCGGCCTCTATGTTTAAAGGCCTCTAAAGAAAGAGCCGCCACCGCATTCCAGGGCAGAGAGTTCCACTGCTGAACAGCTCTCCTTACAGTGAGGAAGTTCTTCCTCATGTTCAGATGGAATCTCCTTTCTTGTAGTTTGAAGCCATTGTTCCGTGTCCTAGTCTCCACGGCAGCAGAAAACAAGCTTGATCCCTCCTTCCTATGACTTCCCCTCACATATTTATTTATACATGGCCATCATGTCTCCTCTCAGCCTCCTTTTCTGCAGGCTACACATGCCCAGCTGTTTAAACCGCTCCTCATAGGGCTTGTTCTCCAGACCCCTGATCATTTTAGTCACCCTACTTAACTTTCTCCATTGGATCATATGACTAGAAGTGATGGGGACCAAGTAATTGCCAGTTAGCAATCTAAATTCAATACATCATACATTTTGACAGAGCCATTGAGTTTTCATAAAACTTTGCATAAGCAAATCTCAAAGTAATATTGTAAAGAGGCCACCAGTTTGTAATGGTTTTGTAAAGGAGCCACCACTTTATAAGGGCTTAGTAAATTGATAGCGTAGCTAATAGCTAGTAATATTGAATTGGTCTTTCTTCAATGTGTAGCGTGACTTAACTTGGAAAGAATTTGTAACAGAGAAAAGAAACTGTAACAATTTTATTAAAATGTAGAAGAAGCTTGATGGTTTCAATGTTTCTTAACTCTTAGAGGCACATATCTTCAGAGGTTACATTTATAACATTTCATAAACAACTCTTAGGAGGACTCTTCCTTCCACAAAACAGGTTTCAAACTTATTTTTCTTCAAACTGTATTTCTTCCCTTAATAGATAACTTCAGATACAAGCTTATTCCGTCTTTGTGATGTTTCTGTTGCAATAAATTTTCTCACTGAGTTTACCTCACCCTTTCTACTCATACACTAATTACTAATATAAATAAGTCAACTCGATTTATCTAAACTACCTAGGCTAAAAGCCAAAACCTTCCTGATTCTCACTACAGTAGAATCAGCCTTTCCCTGTAGTTTTTAAACTACAGACTACCTTCCTGGTTGTCACTACACAACAGAACCAGCCTCTCCTGCAGCTCACAGACTGCAGACTAACCGTTTTAAAATGGCTGCCCTGCCAAGTGGCAGTTGGTTCCGCCCTTTTTTCCATAGCAACCTCGCTCAAAGTGAGCTGATCTGGCTACCATCCCCCCAGTTATGCTACTTTAAATACTTACCCTTTTAAACACCTATCTATAATTATGCATAACTGTAGATCAAAATTCACACTTTACCACAGATATCATTTCTCTATTTTAATATGGTGAATTTTAAAATAATTTGCCCTCTTCTTGTTATTTTGTCTTGACTACTTTTCTAGCACAAATGGGACTGAAACCTTCAGTCGGAGGCCCCATCTACACTGCCACATAATAAAGCTTGAAACTGCATTCTATGGTCAGTGTAGGCTCATATAATGCAGTTCAACTGCATTTATATAAGTCAAACTGCATTATATGGAAGTGTTGATGGGGCCCAAGTCCCACGTTTAGATATCTTTTATACTGGATTTATTACAAGACCAGAAATGACAAATATTTGTCATTTTTTACAATATTTACAATATTGTTTACAATATTTGTTTACAATATTTACAGTACAATATATGAATCATGCAGCCAGAATTACCCTAAGCATGGTGAATTCCACAGTGCAGCTAGTTACCGGACTCTTGCTCCATCTTCTCCATCCATATTTGATTTCATTCACTTCTTCCGTGTCCAGTATGAAACCTTAATTCTTAGTCCTCTGCCCTCTATAGCACATGGCTGCTAGAAGTAGTTTACATTCATCACAGTATATACCTTTTTGTTTTTAATCAGGAAAAACAACAATATCCAAAAACCAAGATACCCCTTGCCCTGCCTAAAGCTCTTCACATTAAAGGATACTGACACAGGTTTAAAACCACATCTTCCCATGGGGAAAATTGTTCTGCCCCAAACCCCAGAGAATACAAGAGTGATTCAGATTAAAAACCATTGTTTTCCATTGGATCCTATTGTTCTGCATTAAACCCCATAGGATACAAGAGACTGCTGGTGGTTGGACAATGAAACATAGTGGGAAACCAGAGGCGGCCCTAGGTAATTTTCAATAGTAAGCAAACAGTATTTTGGTGCCCCCCCCCCCAACCAATCATTGATATATATTTCCTGTTTGTCGTGGGAGTTCTGTGTGCCATATTTGGTTCAATTCCATCATTGGAGGAGTTCAGAATGCTCTTTGATTGTAGGTGAACTATACATCCCAGTAACTACACTTGCCGCACTTGCTCCCTTGCCTGGCCCGCTTTGGGTCCGGAGGCGTGCCTGAAGACCCCGCCGTGTGCACCAAAAGTCACCTCTTCTCCTGACTTTCTCCTCAGCCATTGGGACCAAGAGAGAGAGAGAGAGAGAGGTGGAGATGCCCACCTTTCCTGAAGGTAGGCGCAAAAACAAAGGAGGGAGCGGAGGTGGGAGATACCTCCAGCCGGAGGGGCTCTCTCTCTCTCTCTCTCTCTCTCTCCCTCTCTCTTGGTCCCAATGGCTGAAGAGAAAGTCAGGAGAAGAGGCGACTTTTGGTGCGCACGCTGGGGTCTTCAGACACGCCTCCGGACCCGAAGCAGGCCAGGCGTGGCGGCTCCGCCCCTTGGCCCACCCGCGGATTGGGGAGAGGAGAGGAGGCGGGTGGAGCGCCGGGGGATTGGGAAAGGGAGCCGGTCATGGGGAAGGGATCGAATGGAGAACGATTGAGCGCCGGCTCTGCTCGCGCACCCGGTGGCCGGGTGGAGCAGGAACGAGAGGGGCTAGGCGAGGCTCAAGGGCCCGGCCCCTTTGGGAAGAGGATCGCCCGGCAGCGAGGCAAGAAAGCCGAGGCTCCCCCCGGACTGCTAGGGCTGTTGTGAGCTGAGGGGGCGCTCCTCAAGTGGAGGTCGAGGGGCATTTACAGAGGTGCCTCTGCGCCCCTGGCAAAAAAAAGGTGTTCTGCGGCCGCTTACTTCGCGTAATGGATGAGCCACCCCTGTGGGAAACATAATGGTTCCCATCGCACATGTTTTTCAGTTGTAAAGCTGAGAGTAAAGCATGATAAGAGGTATTGAACACTATTGTTGGCCTGTGTTCAGAGTTCCCTCCTTTCAGGACATTTCTGTTTCTTTTCAACCCTGGAACATTTGATTGGCTCCATGCCTCTCCCTGCTTGAAAGGAGTCTGAAGTGTCCTACCAGGGAGAAATTTCTCAATGTGATAAGGTGAGATTGCTGGAGTTCCCTCCTTTCAGGACACTTCCACCTCTTTTCAACCATGGAGGGCTATGCATCACAGCCTGAAGTAGTTTAACTCATGTGATGAGCTCAGTGCCTCTCCATGCTTGAAAAGAGACTGAAGTGTGGTATGACTGGGAAATTTCTCAATGTGATAAGGTATTTTAACTGCCATGACCCAATGCTAAGGAATCCTGGAAGTTGGAGTTTTACATGGTCTTTAGCCTTCCCAGTGAAAAAGCTGTGGTCCCTCACCAAACTACTAGATTCCATAGCAATGAACCGTAACAGTTAAAGTGGTATCAAACTCTACATTGTGAATTTGTTCTGGATATATGTGGGCTTCTTTTACATGCCCAGAAGTGACTCTAGGCTGGTGAAGGCTCTAATCATATTTTAAATTGGTTTCTTTGTCCATAGAAATGCTTCTTCTGCTTCTACTCCTGCCCTTGTCTGCCATGTTGCAACCATCTCTAGGACAGGTATGAGACCTAAGACTTTCAAAGACCATAGATATTATCTGACATATCCTATAACTCGGTGGTTCTTAACCTGTGGCCTACGAACCACCAGTGGGCCATGGGGATGAAAATCTGGTCAATGAGCCTCCTTCCTCTTTATTTTATTTTATTTCTGCTCCTTTCAAGCCACCTGACATTTCTTCCCTGTCGCTGACCAGCCCCGTCCTCTTGGATAGTCCACATCAGCTCTAGATTATTAAATATGGTGACAAATGGATGGCATATGTTCTGTATCAGAAACTAGAGCTGATGTGGTCTATCCAATGCAATTTTCTGAATCGGCACCACAAATAACCAAAGATAATCTAAAGTTGACCAAATCTGATTAGTAACCCTTTTGGTGCTAATGTTGGAGAGTGGTCTCTGAACTACTGCTATAGCTGAATCCTTTTGGGGTTTACGGAGACTGCATATTTTAACAACTATATCCTGGAGGAGGGTGAAGTGATTATGTTCATTTTCCTACCAGTGTGAGCTCCATGAAAAACACAGATTGGATAGTTACATTACTTGTGTTTCAATTTGCACAGCTTGAGGATGGGTGGTGTTCTTTGAGAAGAATGGCCAACTAGTGCCATAGTTTATCTGTGCCCATTTTAGTTAAGATGGGCATGAGGGTAAAAGAAGAGGTAAATGTTGGGAGAGCGAGCATTGAATCTTCACTTCTCACCATGAAAAAGAAGTTACGGTATTTATCACATTTCTAGCCAGGTCTACTTCTTTCACTTTTTTTTCCTCTTCATCTTTCTCATTCTTCTCCAATTGCCTCTCTCCCGTGACAAACTGCCCCCAAAATAAGCTTACAACCAATGGGAGAGCAAAAGAGGAAAGGGAAAAAATGCCATGGGAATGAGCTTAAGACAGCAATGGAGTGACAGGCACCAGGCATGTAGCTGGGGGGGGGGGGCTTGGGGGGCTTCAGCCCCCCCCCCCAAAATTCTCATGGTGGTCTGCGAGAAGCCCTTACTGGTACATTATTTAAACTGTTATGTTTATTCATATCATGATCTGATCACCATGCTCAATAGATCCCATATGCATGGGGGTATTGGGGTAACGATAGAAAAGGTTTGCTAGGGTAGACCCTCTTTCACTTAGACTCCGCCCCCCCCGAACCAAACTCAGTCCCCCCTCCCCCCCTCCCCCAAAACAAAATCCTGGCTATGGGCCTGACAGGCACATAAATATTTCGAAAAGGACATATAAATGAGAAGGATATTGTTATAATACATGTGTATTAGGAACATGATAAAAAGCAAGGAAATTAATATTACAAATTTTAAGAATTCTCAGGCTTACTTTTTTTCCCCTCCCACCAATATTTTTTCAGCACCCAGGAATAGCAACAGATCTCCCTGAAAAAATACAGAATGAAATTGTTGACAAATTTAATGCTATCAGGAGAGGAGTGGAACCACCTGCTAGCAATATGGTGAAAATGGTAAGACAGAACTTACTCACGTAACATTGTAGTAGGTTTCACATATATCTTTTAGTTTGGTGCAGCATTTCTCAACCTGGGGGTTGGGAATCCTGGGGGAGTCATGAGGGGGTGTCAGTGGAGTCAGCAAAAGCCATCGGAAAACATGGTATTTTCTGTTGATCATGGGGGTTCTGTGTGGGAAATTTGGGCCAATTCTGTCATTGTTGGCATTCAGAATGCTCTTTGATTGTAAGTGAAATATAAATCCCAGCAACTACAACTCCCAAATGTCAAGGTCCACCACTGCTCATATTTGAGCATATTGAGTATTCATGCCAAGTTTGGTCCAGATCCATCATTGTTTGAGCCCGCAGTGCTCTCTGCATGTAGGTGAACTACAACTCCAAAACTCAATGTCAATGCCTACCAAACCCTCCAGTATTTTCCGTTGGTCATGGGAGATCTGTGTGCCAAGTTTGGTTCAAGTCCATCTTGCTGGAGCTCAGAATGCTCTCTGATTGTGGGTTAACTATAAATCCCAGCAACTACAACTCCCAAATGACAAAATCACCCCCAACTCCACCAGTATTCAGATGTGAACATATCAGGTATTTGTGCCAAATTTTGTCCAGTGAATGAAAATACATCCCGCTGATCTGATATTTACATTACGATTCATAACAGGAACAAAATTATAGTTGTGAAGTGGCAATGAAAATAATGTTACGGTTGGGAGACACCACAACATGAGAAACTGTATTGAGAGCTTAGGAAGATGGAGAACCACTGCCGTAGAATATCAGATTGATGGATTTATTTTAGCTCCTCTATGAATGCTCACTGTATTGTAGTGTTATGGATATGAAATGTATTTTCCATCTTCCCTGTGTTTGCTTTATTAAGAAATGGAGTGATAAAGCTGCTGATAATGCTAAAACATGGGCTAAAGAGTGCATTGCAAGAGCCGCTCCACAAGAAAAGCGAATTATAGATGGTAAGTGATATGAATAGACAGAAGAATGCTTTACGTATTGTGTGTAAGGAACAAGGGGGACAAAATAAGCAATTTACAGAGATTTTACACTTTTTAAAAAGAACAACGAAGAAACCATTTTCTGGGCAAATACTGAAATGTTTAAGAACCATGTGGGTAGCGGAAACTAAAAGGACATTCTAGAAGTTTTATACACACACACACACACACTTTTTTTAATTTTAAGCATGTTGGACTCTTCTGAAAGCAGTTCAAATATCCTTCTCTTTTCCTATTACTGCATTATTCCTGCACTTGGCTACCATAATGTTCTCGTGTTTTGACTTCTCCCCATGGAGAAGTAATGGCTTCAAACTACAAGAAAGGAGATTCCATCTGAACATGAGGAAGAACTTCCTGACTGTGAGAGCCATTCAGCAGTGGAACTCTCTGCCCAGAAGCGTGGTGGAGGCTCCTTCTTTGGAAGCTTTTAAACTGAATGGTCATCTGTCAGGGGTGCTTTCCTGCTTCTTGGCAGGGGGTTGGACTGGATGGCCCACGAGGTCTCTTCCAACTCTATGATTCTATGATCCTCACAGGCACAAAATGTCGCTGGAAATGGCATAAAAAATGCCAGTCCCAAGCCACATTGTGTCCACATACATCTGCCTTAAGCTGACTCCATGGAAGAATAACAGCCACACAGCTCACACATGCTGAAGCTGGTTTAGCAGGGCTCTTTAGACACTTCACACATCCCCATTCCCCCCAAAATCAACAGAAAATCCTTCCTGAACATCAAGCTCTGTGTTTCATGAATCTGTATTATTATGAAGCAAGCAGAGTAGTAAGTCCCCTCCTCTTTTCCAAATTTACATTGCTTCCTGCATGGTACAGATTCAGGATGCAGTGAATGGTAAGGATTATCTGTAGTTTTGGGTTAAATGTTTGGATTAGCTGAGAGTGTGAAGTATGTAATGGCTGTGAGTACACAATCTCAGATCCCACATAGGGATCCAAATTGGCAGCCCCCATGCCAAAACACCAGGAAAGGTCCAGATCTTCCTAAACAATTCAGACATTTTCTGATGTTTTTCTGGTCTTGCAGCTCAGAAGAGCTGCAAAACCAAGAACAAGCCACAATAGTAAAACCAAAGATCCACCTAGAGGAAAAGTGTTCTTCCCATACATCAGGGGAACCACTGACCGCATAAGGAAACACAACGTACAAACAATCTACAGACCCTCTAAGAAATTTCAACAAATGCTAGGTTCAGCAAAGGATAAGAGCAATCCTCTAACCATTGCAATACAGCTGTAGACATGTCTACTTAGGGACTACCAAATGCAGTGTCCAAACAAGTATCAAAGAACATGAAAAGCACTGCAAACTAATACAGCCAGAGAAGTCAGCCATAGCAGAGCACTTGATAAACCAACCTGGACACAGAATACTATCTGAGAACACATAAATACTGGATCTCTTTGACAACCATCATGTCAAACTACACAGAGAAGCCATTGAAATCCACAAGCATGTGGACAATTTCAACAAAAAAGAGGAAACCATGAAAATGAACAAAATCTGGCTACTAATATTCTTCTTCTTTCAGGGGTCTTGTGTGGGGATAACAGAGTCCGGTCAACTTATTCAACCTCCTGGTCAGAAATAATTGACTTGTGGAATCTAAAATCATCTAACTTCAAGTATGGAATTGGAGCAATTGACCCCAAAAAAGACATATATGGTTACACTCAGGTATGAAAAAACAGTTATAAGGGAAATATTTACTTTAATTCAATACATGTTGAATCCTAAATGGTCCATCAACAAGTAAACTATAATATAATAAAGTACAAATCACATTTGTTATAAAACATAATCATACTCACACATAAAATTCCAATAATGTTGTAATAAATAGACATGTCAAACATGTCTATTTTTAAGTCTAATCATTTCTAAAACTTGAAACTTTATTTGAACATGCTCTTTCCCCTTATGTTGATAGATGATTTGGCATAATTCATATCTGATTGGATGTACAGTTGCCTTCTGTCCAGAAGAAGAGTACAAGTTCTTATATGTTTGCCGTTTCTGCCCTGCGTAAGTATCTTTTGGAAATGATGGAGTCATATAATTGAGACACAAGAGCCGTTCAGTCCAGTCATAGCACTCTCAACAGATGGCCATTCAGTCTCTGCTTTAAAATCTCCAAAGAGGGAGACTCCATCACACTTTGAGACAGCATATTCAATGATTATGCTCTTACTGTAGGAATGTCTTCCTAATATTCAGGGAGAATGTATTCCTCCAATTTGAATCAATTTCTCTGTATCCTACGATCTCGTCACACAGCCGCCAGAGGTTCTCCGCTTTGTAGAGAGGCACAGGAAACCTGGCACCCCATGCACTACATTGTCCAGCTCCAGCCAAGGGCGATCAAATGGGGGGAGCATGAGAGTGCCTGGAGCATGCAGCTTCCTCCCAATGGATTGCAGTGGCAAAATGGGAGCCCTTTCCTGGCAGCAGCATGCACCAGCTCCACCCTCCTTCACCCACAGAGCCATACCGGCATCATCTGATGGGAGCAAGTCGGCTTGGTGTGTGACCAGGGCTAAATCAGCACATGCCACCAAATTTAGCCCCATGTGAAAGGGTCACTAACATCTAGAAAACAAGCCTGCTCCATCTTTAATTGGACAGATTTTTCAAATAAATTGTTAATGTATTTCTCTGGGATTGAACACACAATGAAGTACACAAAGAGCCCCTGTGACCTGGGATTTCCCCATCCATTTCAATAGAGGGAGATGCCAGGGAAATAATGAATATGCCAATGTGAGATGACTTGGCAGATAAATGAAGCAGATCTTGAACACAGGGGATGTCCCACCTTTCTCTCTGCTTCTCTCTCACTCATTTCTACTAAAAATACTTCAGGTAGTACGGCAATCCAGGTGTGTTGAAATATGACATGACATTATTCCCATGGGGGAATCTATCTTGGGGACACTTGATGAATTTGATATATCAGCGGTATGTTTTTAAGAAAGGGAAACCAACAAAAGTCTTAAAATAAAAAAACAATCTTTTCACTCTATCCCATTTTTTTTTCAAAATTAGCTTCAGCTGTCACAAAGAGGAACTGTTGGCAAGTTGGAAAGGGGTGTTCTAGGAACATAAGAATTTCTGCAACTTACAATGATGCTCCAAACGTTATTCAGTACTTAAATAAAATGGTGGTTTAAGAAAGACTCAGACCATTTTTAGTTAACAATTTCCAAAAGTGACATTCATAGGAAAGTATTTCCATATATATCAATCCCTGTTAAAGTCCTATGTGGCTATTGAGATTTAATTTTTAAAAAAATATGCCGCTTCCTCTTGAATGTCACATGTAGTGAATGTTGTTCTGTGTTCTAACCTTTTTACCTTCTTACTTAATAAATGCACCTTTATAATAATGCATTCATGTTGTAATTTCAGTGGAAATACAATAGAAGAAATTGCAACACCCTACAAAGAAGGCCCACCCTGTGGAGACTGCCCTGATGATTGTGAGGACAGACTTTGCAGTAAGTTGCTATTTTTACAATGTGCCTGGGCAGGCCCGTAGCCAGGATTTTGATTGGGGGGGGGGGGGTGAGTTTGATTCGGGGGGGGGGCTGAGTCTGAGTGAAAGAGGGTCTACCCTAGCAAACCTTTTGTTTCGTTACCCCAATACCCCATGCATATGAGATATATTGAGCATGGTGATCAGATCATGATATGAATAAACATAACAGTTTAAATAATGTACCAGTAAGGCCTTCTTGCGGACCCCCCCCCCCCCCCCCCCGGCTACATGCCTGTGCCTGGGCAAATATGGACACAGTACTCTATATTTGCTCTCTAAGAGACGGGGAGAGCAAACAACTCACAATGGGCTTGCTTACTTTCATCTGCTACAGTGTACTGTTTGGTGGTTCTCATGGCTTTTCTGCACTGGAGGTTTCCAGACTGGGATCTCGTGGTCTCATCCAGTTGTTCTTCTTCCCTTATAAGTTCAACCATGATTGGGGAAAAACAGGAGTAAGGTTTAAGGCTGTTGTGGATCACTGAACAAGAGAGGTCGTAATTTCTTCACTCCACATTTTATTATACCCCTAATATGATTCCACAACAAATGGAAACTGCCCTTGTATCATGATCTAAACTTGTGAATTTAATTCAGGGGGGGGGGGGGGGAATCTGTCTATAGTTTAATGATTCTATGATTTGATTTACTCTTTACTCTTATCTGGGCAAGAGCTCCAATGAAAACAATAAACCCACTGAGTACATGCATTTAAAATTGCTATTCCCTGCTAAAAGGTAAAGATTTCTCCTGACATTAAGTCCAGTTGTGTCCGACTCTGGGGGTTGGTGCTCATCTCCATTTCCAAGCTGAAAAGCCAGCATTGTCTGTAGACACCTCCAAAGTCATGTGGCTGGCATGACTGCATGGAGTGCGGTTACCTTCCTGTCAAAGTGGTACATCTATTTCTGTTTCATTGACTATTCCAAAGCCTTTGACTGTGTAGATCATAATAAACTGTGGCAAGTTCTTGGTGGTATGGGCATACCAAATCACCTTGTCTCTATCCTGAGGAATCTGTATAAGGACCAAGTAGCAACAGTCAGAACTGACCATGGAACAACAGACTGGTTCAAGATTGGAAAAGCCGTATGGCAGGGTTGTATACTCTCAGCCAACCTATTCAACTTGTATGCAGAACACATCATGCAATGTGCAGGGCTTGACGAATGCAAGGCTGGGGTGAACATTGCTGGAAGAAACATTAACAACCTTAGATATGCAGATGACACCACTTTGATGATCGAAAGTGAGGAGGAGCTGAGGAGCCTTCTAATCAAGGTGAAAGAAGAAAGTGCAAAAGCTGTGTTGCAGTTAAACTTCAAAAAAACCAAGATTATGGCAACAAGAATGATTGACAACTGGGAAATAGAGGGAGAAAACGTGGAGACCATGACAGACTTTGTATTTCTAGGTGCAAAGATTACTGCAGACATAGACTGCAGCCAGGAAATCAGAAGACATTTACTTCTTGGGGGGAGAGCAAAGACCAATCTTGATAAAATAGTGAAAAATAGAGACATCACCCTGGCAACAAAGATCCGCATAGTTAAAGCAACGGTGTTCCCCGTAGTCACCTGGACATGAGAGCTGAGTGAAGGAAGATAGATGCTTTTGAACTGTGGTGCTGAAGGAGAGTTCTGAGAGTGCCTTGGACCGTGAGAAGATCCAACCAGTCCATACTTCAGGAAATAAAGCCCAACTGCTCATCAGAGGGAAGGACAGTAGAGTCAAAGATTAAGTACTTTGGCCACATCATGAGAAGAAAGGAAAGCTTAGAGAAGACAATGATGCTGGGGAAAATGGAAGGAAAAAGGAAGAGGGGCCGATCAAGGGCAAGATGGATAGATGGTATCCTTGAAGTGACTGGATTGACCTTGAAGGAGCTGGGGGTGGTGACAGCCAACAAGGAGTCTGGCGTGGTCTGGTCCATGAAGTCATGAAGAGTCGGAAACGACTGAACGAATGAACAACAACAAGAAGAAGATTGGCAGAAGCTGGGCATAACAGCGGGAGTTTACCCTGCTCCTCGGAATTGAACCTCTAACCTTTTGATCAGCAATTTCAGCAGCTCAGAGGTTTAACCTGCTGCACCACCAGTGAATGTGGAGGCCGTGACAAACTTTGTATTTCTAGGTGAAAAGATTACTGCAGATGCAGACTGTGGCCAGGAAATCAGAAGATGCTTACTTCTTGGGAGGAGAGCAATGTCCAGTCTCGATAAAATAGTAAAGAGTAGAGACATCACACTGGCAACAAAGATCCGCATAGTCAAAGCCATGGTATTCCCTGTAGTAACCTACGGATGTGAGAGCTGGACCTTAGGGAAGGCTGAGCGAAGGAAGATAGATGCTTTTGAGCTGTGGTGTTGGAGGAAAGTTCTGAGAGTGCCTTGGACTGCGAGAAGATCCAACCAGTCCATCCTCCAGGAAATAAAGCCCGACTGCTCACTGGAGGGAAGGATACTAGAGACAAAGTTGAAGTACTTTGGCCACATCATGAGGAGACAGCAAAGCCTAGAGAAGACAATTATGCTGGGGAAAGTGGAAGGCAAAAGGAAGGGGGGCCAACCAAGGGCAAGATGGATGGATGGCATCCTTGAATTGACTGGGCTGAAGGAGCTGGGGGTGGTGACGGTCGACAGGGAGCTCTGGCGTGGGCTGGTCCATGAGGTCACGAAGAGTCGGAGACGACTGAACGAATGAACAACACCACCAGTGAAAGCCAAATTTGTCATAATGGCCGAATGAGCCATTATGAGTCAAATTATGAAAATGGCTTTGGAACAAAAGTTAACACATTTAACCTAGAAATATACAGGGGTCAATGAAGTTATGTCACAACTGGAATAATGTGGTTCCCTTGATTTTTAAAAAAAATTACAAATTTCAGGTATTTTAAGGCAATCCCAAAGAAAATAAATTACAGAAATACATCTGGGAGTTTTCCAATGCATTTAACTAGACAAGACGCTTCAGAACAAGGGCATCAAATATTTTAGATAATTTCAGTAAAACAACTCTGCTCAGGGAGATCACATACTACAATGCATATGTTTATAAATGGTGGACGTCCCCCTTTTTGATGCTAACTTTGTTTTGGTTTGATTTTTCACAGCCCATACATGTGAGTATATGGACACCCGTGAAGACTGTAAAACAATGGTGCTAATGTTTCCCTGTGATCATCCGTATATTCAAAACGTTTGTGCTGGCACCTGCAAATGCCCGCCGGGAACTGTATAAACAACTGAACAGTACACAAGGCATGTTTTAATGAAAGCAGATGGAAGTTCAGGATTAAAAAGAAACTATTTCTCACCTAAAGGATCATTTCCCACATCATTTGCAAATACAGATAATTGATCAAAATCCGGGTTCTTTTGGTTTTTTTTCCTTTGTTTATTACACTGCTTTAGAAAACATTTTGAAGCTGTTCTGGAATATTGTGTTGGTATATATTTTTGAGTAAGCTGGTCATTAAGTTTTGATATATACAGCGTTATATTTTGGAACGCCAGAAAAGTGTTGGTTTTGTTATTTTGTGTTTTGCTTTAAAATCAATGAGGAATATAGCCTAAGAAAAATTCTAAAATATTCATTATATAACATAACTTATTAAATTTCATTTTTTTAACCCCAGAGTTTTCTTCTTGTTGCAAAAATGAAATTAATTTTGTGAAACACATATAATTTGAAACCTGGATGAGTCCAATTAGTGATTGCTTTGAATTTTCAGCCAATGGAGAAGAAGCCATCAATGAATGGATAAACTCCTATTGCTAGACAACATATTGCATAAAACAAACTTGATTTGGGAAGATGCAGCCTCATTCTATATTCATCCTACATTAATTTCAAATCTGTCTACAACTCATGTGTAACTAATTTTTTTCATGTCAGGAATGACTTGAGAAACTGCGCTTCTGGTATGAGAAAATTGGCCATCTTCAAGGAAGTTGCACAGGGCATGCCTGGATGTGTTACCATCCTGTGGGAAGCTTCTCTCATGTCACCGCATGAGAAGCTAAAGCTGACAGACGGGAGCTCACTCTGCTTTCCAGATTTGAACCGCTTTCAGTCAGCGGTCTTACTTGCACAAGGGTTTAACCCATTGCGCTGCCAGGGGCTCCTATCTGTAACTAACTAGTACTTTTCAAAAAAAATAGAGAACACCTGTTTTAGGCAACTAAAAGCACCTTGAATCTCTGTTCAAAATGTTTTCATGTAAATACAAAGCACTTCTGAAGTGATTTTGAGTATTGTGACTTGTCATTATGGGCATAATGGGGGCATCACTTTGAACTGCTTTACTTTCCCATTGCCATACAGTATGCTTTCCAGCCTGCATATGAGTTCACTTTGAGGGTTTGCACTTGTTTCTCATTCCTCTACTCTGCAAGTCGCTTTGATCTGAATGAGGGAGAGGTTCTTAAAGGCACAGCCATCCACACGTACAAACATCCAAGACGTAGCTCCTGCTGTCCTATATATGTGGCTGTCTTCACTGCCACTACCAGTTATATCACCCAGTCAGCCTGCCCACTCACTGACCTGTCTCTTCCTTGGCATCTGTTTTGCACACCATGGCAGCCCCAAAGCCTGTCATTCAGCACAGCACAGGTTTTTCTTTTACCCAGTCAGAAAGCAGTGAGTACGGAGAAGAAGGCAACACATGAAGAGATAGATGCACATATACTCATATGACAAGAGCAGGGTGGCAAGAGTTGTTGTTGTTCATTCGTTCACTCGTCTCCGACTCTTCGTGACCTCATGGACCAGCCCACACCAGAGCTCCCTGTCGGCCGTTACCACCCCCAGCTCCCTCAAGGTCAGTCCAGTCACTTCAAGGATGCCATCCATCCATCTTGCCCTTGGTCGTCCCCTCTTCCTTTTGCCTTCCACTTTCCCCAGCATAATTGTCTTCTCTAGGCTTTCCTGTCTCCTCATGATGTGGCCAAAGTACTTCAACTTTGTCTCTAGTATCTTTCCCTCCAGTGAGCAGTCGGGCTTTATTTCCTGGAGGATGGACTGGTTGGATCTTCTCGCAGTCCAAGGCACTCTCAGAACTTTCCTCCAACACCACAGCTCAAAAGCATCGATCTTCCTTCGCTCAGCCGTCCCTAAGGTCCAGCTCTCACATCCGTAGGTTACTACAGGGAATACCATGGCTTTGACTAGGCGGATCTTTGTTGCCAGTCTGATGTCTCTACTCTTTACTATTTTATCGAGATTGGACATTGCTCTCCTCCCAAGAAGTAAGCGTCTTCTGATTTCCTGGCTACAGTCTGCATCTGCAGTAATCTTTGCACCTAGAAATACAAAGTCTGTCACGGCCTCCACGGTTTCTCCCTCTATTTTCCAGTTGTCAATCATTCTTGTTGCCATAATCTTGGTTTTTTTGACGTTTAGCTGCAACCCGGCTTTTGCGCTTTCTTCTTTCACCTTGATTAGAAGGCTCCTCAGCTCCTCCTCGCTTTCGGCCATCAGAGTGGTGTCATCTGCATATCTTAGGTTGTTAATGTTTCTTCCAGCAATTTTCACCCCAGCTTTGCATTCATCCAGCCCCGCACATCGCATGATGTGTTCTGCATACAAGTTAAAAAGGTTGGGTGAGAGGATGCAGCCTTGCCGTACGCCTTTCCCAATCTTGAACCAGTCTGTTGTTCCGTGGTCAGTTCTGACTGTTGCTACTTGGTCCTTGTACAGATTCCTCCGGAGAGAGACAAGGTGGCTTGGGATGCCCATCCCACTAAGAACTTGCCACAATTTATTATGATCCACACAGTCAAAGGCTTTAGAATAGTCAATGAAGCAGAAGTAGATGTTTTTCTGAAACTCCCTGCCTTTCTCCATTATCCAGCGGATATTGGCAATTTGGTCTCTCGTTCCTCTACCTTTTCTAAACCCAGCTTGAACATCTGGCAACTCTCGCTCCATGTATTGCTGGAGTCTTCTTTGCAGGATCTTGAGCATTACCTTACTGGCATGAGAAATAAGGGCCACTGTACGGAAGTTTGAGCAGTCTTTCGCATTTCCCTTTTTTGGTATGGGGATATAAGTTGATTTTTTTCCAGTCTGATGGCCATTCTTGTGTTTTCCATATTTGCTGGCATATGGCATGCATCACCTTGACAGCATCATCTTTTAAGATTTTAAACAGTTCAGCTGGGATCCGTCGTCTCCTGCTGCCTTGTTGTTAGCAATGCTACTTAAGGCCCACTCAACCTCACTCCTCAGGATGTCTGGTTCTAATTCACTTACCACACAGTCAAAATTATCCTCGATATTATTATCCTTCCTATACAGATCTTCTGTATAGTCTCGCCACCTTTTCTGATCTCTTCAGCTTCTGTTACATCCCTGCCATCTTTGTTTCTTATCATACCAATTTTTGCCTGAAATTTACCTCCAATGTTTCTAATTTTCTGGAAGAGGTCTCTTGTCCTTCCTATTCTGTTGTCTTCTTCCACTTCCATGCATTGCTTATTTAAAAATAGTTCCTTATCTCTTCTGGCTAACCTCTGGAATTGCGAATTTAACTGGGCATATCTCCCCTTATCCCTGTTTCCTTTTGCTTTCCTCCTTTCTTGGGCTACTTCCAGTGTCTCAGCAGACAACCATTTTGCCTTCTTGGTTTTCTTTTTCTTTGGGACGTACTTTGTTGCCGCTTCCTGAACAATGTCTCGGACTTCTGTCCATAGTTCTTCTGGGACTCTGTTTACTAAATCTAGTCCTTCAAATCTGTTCTTCACTTCCACTGTATATTCGCTAGGAATGTTAGTGAGATCATATCTAACTGGTCTGTGTATTTTCCCTGATCTCTTTAGTTTTATTCTAAATTGGGCAATAAGAAGTTCGTGATCTGAGCTACAGTCAGCCCCAGGTCTTGTTTTCACCGACTGGATGGATGTCCGCCACCTTTGGCTGCAAAGGAGGTAGTCAATCTGATTTCGGTGTTGACCGTCTGGTGAGGTCCATGTGTAAAGCCGTCTTTTAGGTTGTTGGAAGAGAGTATTCGTTATACACAGCGAGTTTTCCTGGCAAAATTCTATCAGCCTGCGTCCCGCTTCATTTTGTTCTCCCAGACCATTCTTGCCTGTGATCCCAGTTGTCATTTGACTTCCCACCTTGGCATTCCAGTCTCCTGTAATGAAAATAATGTCTCTTTTTGGTGTATTATCCAGTAGGTCCTGCAGATCCTCATAGAACTGATCTACTTCTGCTTCTTCAGCAGCTGTGGTTGGGGCGTATATTTGGATCACTGTAATGTTGAAAGGCTTTCCTTGCACTCGAATTGAGATCATTCTGTCATTTTCCGGGTTGTATCCAAGCACCGCCTTAGCGAATTTCTTATTAATTATGAAGGCTACTCCATTTCTTCGATGTTCCTCTTGTCCGCAGTAGTAGATCTGGTGGTCATCTGATGTGAAGTGGCCCATTCCAGTCCACTTCAGTTCGCTGACCCCCAGAATGTCTATCTTTAGTCTTGACATCTCGCCAATAACAACATCCAATTTGCCCTGGCTCATAGATCTTACATTCCAGGTTCCTATGGTGTGTTGATCTTTAGAGCATCGGATTCTTCGTTCACCTCCAGTACCGTCGGCCGCTAGCCTTCCTTTCGGCTTTGAGCTAGCTGCGTCATCACATCTGGGGCTAGTTGAACTTATCCTCTGGCAAGAGTATCATCCTGGAAAGAAGTGACAAGTGGAGTGCCGCAGGGTTCCGTCCTGGGCCCGGTCCTGTTCAACATCTTTATTAATGACTTTGATGAAGGGCTAGAAGGCATGGTTATCAAGTTTGCCGACGACACCGAATTGGGAGAGAGAGCCAATACTCCAGAGGACAGGAGCAGAATTCAAAACGATCTTGTCAGATGAGAGAGATGGGCCAAAACTAACAAAATGAAGTTCAACAGTGACAAATGCAAGATACTCCACTTTGGCAGAAAAACGAAATGCAAAGATACAGAATGGGGGATGCCTGGCTCGAGAGCAGTACGTGTGAAAAAGATCTTGGAGTCCTCGTCGACAACAAGTTAAACATGAGCCAACAATGTGATGTGGCAGCAAAAAAAGCCAATGGGATTTTGGCCTGCATCAATAGGAGCATAGTGTCTAGATCTAGGGAAGTCAATGCTGCCCCTCTATTCTGCTTTGGTTAGACCACACCTGGAATATTGTGTCCAATTCTGGGCACCACAATTCAAGAGAGATATTGACAAGCTGGAATGTGTCCAGAGGAAGGTGACTAAAATGATCAAGACAACAAGCCCTATGAGGAGCGGCTCAAGGAGCTGGGCATGTTTAGCCTGAAGAGAGAA